CCGGGGACTGTCCCCTGCTTCGGCGCGCTGTGCCAGGGCTCGAGCTGCTGCCGTCCAAGCGTCCATGCCCCTCTCCGTGGACATGCTGCTGGCTCCCCACCGGGGTCGGCCTCGCTGGGGCTCTTCCGCCGCGACTTTCGCGACGGCACCCTGTGCCGTGGATCGAACCCGCTCGACAGTAGCTCCGCTGCCAATGTCGATGTGATGAGCTTTTTCAGCACAGACGGTCGTGCCCCGCAGAAAGGGGCGCATCAAAATGCCATGCCGTCCCTCCACTCTTGCGTCGGGAGGCTTTGTGCCAGAAAACGGCGCCGAGAAAAGAGGTGGGTGGATGTGGCAGCAGTGATCTTCAACAACCCAGAATAACCCTTCAATTACTCGGAGGAAAAGCAAAGGCCACCGCCGCCGAGAACGCATTGGGGTGGGTCGACCACTGGGCGGTAGTACGCCGTAGCACGCCGGAACGTCACCCAGTATAGGACGCTCGGGCGTGCCACCGCCCGATGGATCTTCGGTGGAGGTCTATGTTCTTCTCTGAATTAGCTCACAAAAAACAAGAATACAACGCACACATTTTTGGAAGAAAACCAAACAGGATATGCACATCATGTTGATGAAACCTAAAACAACCTGGCGTGGCCCCAAAGAGGCCAATTGAGACCTCATTGAAAACGGAAAAAGACCATGACGAATTCGGAAGAAGATCTCGGATACACCAAGAGATCTCGCAATCCCTTCCTCGTCCTCTTCCGACCCATCCCTCTCTCTTACACACACTTTCCGATTGCGATGTCCTATACCTCGCATGCTTGTCCCGGTTTGCGTGCAGGGCGCTCCATTGTAATATTAACGCCCTTGGACGCAGCGACCCCAAGGGAGATCCTTACTATCAGCACTCACTTAGCCTGGCGAAAGACCCAACCATATGCAGTTGTGAATACCGCAATTGTGAATACCATCTTCGCCCGCGCGCCCTATGTGGCCACGGCTTCCCGCCGGAGCCCGACATGCTCAGGAACACGTTCGTGGCAGTCTTCGCGGGCGCCGACGACGACAAGGACGGCGTCCCTCTGACCGAGGAGCAGAAGCAGGAGAGGGCTTTGACAGCCATGAGGGAGGAGGTGTCAGTGCACGTCGAAAAGGCGGTGTACGACGCCCAGGCGCGGTGGTTGAAGCAGCACAACTATGGGGCCACTATCCTCGTGAGGGGTGTGCCGAAATGGCCCGAGGCCGCCATGAGAACCCTGCTGCTGGGGGCCTTCGGTGGAGCTCCCTATGGGGCCACGATCCTCGTGAGGGGTGTGCCGAAATGGCCCGAGGCCGCCGTGCGAACCCTGCCACTGGGGGCCTTCGGTGGAGATCCCTATGGGGCCACGATCCTTGTGAGGGGTGTGCCGAAATGGCCCGAGGCCGCCATGCGAACCCTGCCACTCGCGCCTTCGGTGGAGCTGCCTAGGTGGCCGCGATCCTCGCAAATGGTGTGCCGAAATGGCCCGAGGCCGCCATGCGAACCCTGCCGCTGGCGCCTTCGGTGGAGCTCCCTATAAAGCCACGATCCTCGTGAGGGGTGTGCCGAAATGGCCCGAGGCCGCCATGGGAACCCTGCCACTGGGACCTTCGGTGGAGCTCCCTATGGGGCCACGATCCTCGTGAGGGGTGTGCCGAAATGGCCCGAGGCCGACATGCGCACTTTGCTACTGGCGCCTTCGGTGGAGCTCCTATGGGGCCACGAACCTCGTGAGGGTGATGATGCTGATGATGATGATGCTGCTGCTGATGATGATGATGATGATGATGATGATGATGATGATGATGATGATGATGATGACGATGATGCGAGGAGGAGGGAGGGGGCAGCGGGAGGAGGAAGGAACCCGGGGCGCTGTCTCTTCAAAACAAGGACCCAACATTACAGGATGGTTGGGGAAAAATGCTGATTTCTGGCATGCGGTGTACGGAGGCGCATGCGTCCTTCAGGATTTCAGACCTGCTATAGCAGCTTCAAAACTCATGGGGCGCGCGTGCGTGTCAGTGGAGAACGATGACGCTCATATAGGACCCCCATGGGGGTCCTACAGGACCCCTGTGGAAAAGACCCATTATGCGCCAGTAGTCCCCGCGGCACCCTCCAGCGCCCACCAGCGCTGACTGGGAATCGTTTGAAATCCGGAATGGGTTGGGAAACAATGTCTTCTGCTGGACTGGAAAATGCCACAAGAATTCGAATCGGAAATTGCAAATATCAGCGGCGGCTGTCGGTAATTTGCTCACTGGCCTCATGCGGCGGGTCCCGCCACGCGCACACCACGCACACCATGCACCCTGGACACCTCAGGCACATCAGGACAAACACGGCAGGCATATCACGATGACCACCAGCCGCCCACGCACACCACGCACGCCTGTCACCAATGCCAGTTTCAGCTCCCACTGGTTCGTTGACTCTTCGTTTCGCTGCCTTCCTTGAGATCCGACGTTGCGAACTAATTGCAACACCGCGGAACATCACGACACTGACCCTAGACCCCATCTTTCTACAACATTTTTCGAAACGGATCGATCTTTGCTGGGTGATGGTCCTAGGGCCCGCGATTGGGCAAAAACGCCGACTGTGAACAAAATGCAACGCCTGGATTTCACGATTGAAAGAACATGCGCCCCCAAAAGGTCCCGACCACTTCCCCGGGGGTAGTTTCCGTCCTGAATTTAAGCTTGATGGCCCAGGGTTTGAAAAATCCCCTTGGGGACCGAGATCAATGAAACAGCCCAGGTACGCAAAAAATCAAATCGTCAGGGGCCGACCTCCTCCGCGCGTTTTTTTTCGCACGCGCGCACGCCGTGACAACTGCCCTGCGGCGTCTCCCAGCGGGGCCCTCCGAGCGCCCGCTCGCCGCTGGGAGCGGGCCGCACGGGTGGGCTACAGGGCGGCTTCGGGGCTGCTCCGGGAGCAGCGAGGAGGAGGGGATCGATCGTTGCAGCAAATCCTGGCAGGAGGTCGTGGGACCCTGGGGGCCCTCGCCGGGATGAACATCGGGTCCAGAGGAAGGGGTCCAGACCTCTTGGGGGGGGATTGGTGGGACCATCACAGATCAGCCCGGCTCGAGAACTGCCACAAAACGATTGTGTCTAGGGCTCTGGTCGTGAATTTTTGATGTGATGTTTTTCCTGCAGTGTCGAATCCCAGGGAAGGAAGCAGGGCGGAAGCACGAGGGCTGTATATATATATATATAGAGAGAGAGAGAGAGAGAGAGAGAGAGAGAGAGAGAGAGAGAGAAAGAGAGAGAGAGAGAGAGAGAACAACAAAGAGAGAGAGAGAGAGAGGGAGAGAGAGATGGAGAGGTGGGCACAGGAGGATGGAACAAATATGGGGGAGCAGGGGAACGGAGCGGGAGGAGAAAAACACCCACGGAGGTGAAGGGGGAGGAAAACTGGCGAGGGCAGATGCCGTGGATGGCGACAGGAAGCCTCAGACCTGCGGCGCCCGTGTAGTGCGAACGTGCAACGCGTGGCTTCTACCAGAGCGCTCTATTGCACGAGTTGGGTCGCCGATTCGTTCACCTTCTTGGGCTTCTCAGGGTTCATGGCCAGGTTCATATTCCGTGAGAGCGTGACTCTGGTAATGACCGAATACCACGTGTATACCTTCTGGTGGCCATTACATGGGCCGTCGCCCTCATGTAGACCCGTAAGCCTTGAGCGTTCCGCGAGGCTCTGTGCCCTCTACTGTGTCGTTCAACAAATACCAAAGGTCCTCGTGCAGCTTGGCGTAACCATTTTCTTTTAGCACATATTCTCTTGTTGCATCATCCTCTTGCTTCTTGGTCAGCGATGCCTTGGTGTACTCACTCAGTGTTAACCTTCCGTTCGTGGTTTTATCAGGTTATCCTCCTCGTCGTTGGATAGCGCCCCATCCATGACTTCGAGCTTGTTTTTTATGCTCGAGGGCTTCATGATTACCGTGCTTCACTTGGGCGAGCGAATTCAGCATCATTGCGCTCCATTATCTGAACTTGGTCCTGTCGCCTGAAAGCGCCTTGAAGCGCTGGACAGCCTTGTATTTGCTGCCAGGCTTGTCTCTGCCTCCTCCTGCCCTGACGATTCCTGCCGACTGTGTACTGCCTTAGGGATCTTGGCGACATGCTCCGAGGCGTTCGTCTGGTGTTGGAGTTATTTCCTTACGTGTCTTCAGGTGGTTGAACTGTTCCTCGCAGTACATGCTGCAGCTGACGACCGAGATGAGGAGAGCAATAACTTTGCAGCTTGTCTGTGGCAGTGTGAATGCTTCATCGTTGCCAGCAGTCCCATTGCCCTGTGGTATTGCGCTCCGAGAGCAGCTTCATGCCCTCGTGGCCGGCTTTGGGCGCCGCGCTGACGTCCCTGAGCTCCCCGTTCTCGTAACCTGCATTGCGTAGTTACGCGAACCAGTTTGTGCCTAAATTGTACCAGGCTTCACGTACTTCAAGTAACGACACGTTGTAACCGGGGTCGTTGTTACCAGGGTCCACTGGGGTCGCTGCAGCGGCCGCCGCTTCCATCTCTGTTCTGGAACTCGTGGGGCGAACCACGGGTTCCGATAGCATGAAAATCAGGCAGGAGCCTTTTTCTGAGAAGGCATAACAATACTTGAGCCAGGCGCCGGCGGGGCGAGTTCCGTACCACAATATGCCTACCTACTCCTCCCCTTCCTCCGCTGAGCGCCCTTTCAAGGGCGTCCAGGGCCCTTCACTTTTTTTGGTGGCTGACATGGTCCTCAAGCAGCTCTTTCTTGGTTCCGATCGCGAGGGCAGACATCAGCCTTGGCTCTGCACGGTCCTTCTTCCCGCCTTTGACGGGCCTTTGGCCTGCAGTCCCTTGTGGGAGGCTGCGCGCCCCCGGCAGTGGCTCCGCTGTGGAGCCCTCTCGCCGACCTCCGATCCGATCCAATCCCCCTCCTTCGCCTCTTCCTTGTCCACGTCGTCCCCCCCGCCTCCTCCTCCTCCTCCTCCTCCTCCTCCTCCTCCTCCTCCTGTGGCCAAGAGGTCCGGGCCCCAGGCGCCGCGCTGGCATCGCGGCGCCAGTGGCCCGGGCCCGAGGCCGAGGCTGTGCAGGGCGTGCCTGCTGCTTTGTCTTTCGCCGCCGTCCGCGGGCGCTGTCGCCACAAGGCGCGACGGAGGCGCACTGCAGAACTGTTCCTCCATCCGCTAAACTGGAGCCCCCAAGCCGCATGACCTCTGATAACAGACGGCTACGCCCACTCGGCTGCATGCGTGGAACAGGCGGGGACATGCAACAGCAAGCCACCGCTGGCTTGGCAAAGACACCAGGCTGGAACCGAGAGGTCAAGCGCGGAGGGGGATAACGGCCAGTTGTCGGTGATCTTCGAGCTTTCGTCGCACGTCGGGGGGAACCCTTTTCAGGAGCCTCCGACGCCTCAGGGACGGGAGAGGGGGGAGGGGGGATGGATTGAGAGGGAAGGGAGGGGACAAGGAGAGGATCCAGAGAGGGAGCATCGAAGGAGTGGAGAAGATGAGGGAGCGAGGAAGGGCGGGGCGTAGCGCTCGCACTTTGCCCTCACCTGCGCGATCTGCAGGATCATCTGCAGATCCCTTTCCCTCCTCTCTCCTCCTCGCCAACCCTTCCGTTCCCCTCCTCCTCGTCCTCCTTCTCATTCTCGTCCTCCTCCTCTTCCTCCATCTTTATTTGCTTCCCGAGTGAGACTCCGAATGTCCCGGCAGCTAGACCAGCCGCCCATTCCCCATTCCAGTCCCATTCCCCATCACCAGCCTCTCCCGTCTCCTTCACTTCTCCCTCCCTTATGCTCCCCCTCTCTCGCCATGCCTTCACCTCTTCCTCTTCCTCTCCACTTCCCCCTCACATCTCCCTGTCTGTCTCTGTTTATGTATATGTCTCTCTCTCTCTTTCTACCTTTGTGCCTATCCTTTCATCTCTGCCCTCCTTTGTCTACTTTATCTTCTCCCTCTCTTCTCTCCCCTATTTCCTCCCATACAATGCCTTTCTCCCCTCCTTCCCCACCCCCACTGACAAATATCGGAAACAACACAACGGTGCATACATCCCCCCGTGCTTCTCCACATCAGCATGATCATCAACGTGACTGGCGTCCGTACCCCTCTCGAAACAGCGCAGGTGTGGTGATGTATTCCTGGAACAACGAGTTCAATTCAAACCCAACGCTCAGGGCACACCCGCTGAAATGGCAGGCCCTTGCTCTTACCACAGATTTTAGACAAGCTAGCCGAGGGGGCGACGGAGCGAGAGGGAATGCATGACGCGCGGGCAGGCGGGCCCCTCATAAGCAGTGCTGCGGGGACTTCGCGAAGCCAGCGGTAGTGGCTTCGAACGCCCTTTCCTCGCAGTCGGGCCGATCACATCGGTGATGGCCGCGCCAACGATCCCTCCAAAGCGCTATTGGATGGCCGAAGCACTGACCGCAATCCGATGAGCGTTCTTCCAGGATCAGGCCAAGATCACCTCGCGCCCAATCATCGGGACGTCGATTGATCGCTCCTCATCATCCTCCTCCTCCTCATCCTTTTCCTCCTCTTCTTTCTCCTCCTCCTCCTTGCCGTGGCCCACTTGGGAAAGCCTCGACGACACCAAGTCGCCTGGTCGGCCAAGGAGTTCGGTGTAACGACGCCCAGCTGCGCAGCCCGTGGCACGCTGGAGCGCATATACACCGAAGTCATTCACTGAAACCTTTGGCTCCTTGGCCGATCCGATAACGTGGCGTCGAGCTCCTCCCCATTTTTGACATTAGGCAAACATGAGGTGGGGTCTGCTGCGTTATGTGAAGATGCTTTCCTTTTTTAGGGGAAAAACTTCCGATTTAGGCGGGGCGAAGAAACCAAGGACGCCTGCCTGGCGCAGCAGAAACAGTCAGGCAACGGGGACAGGTTAAGAAAGTGGGCTGTCGGGGGCGCAGGATACGCGCCAGCCAGGCGGTGTGAGAAGAGGAACGAGCGATCGAGTCAAAACTGGGTGGCCTTAACGTAGGGATCGGGAACCGATGAATCGAGCAAGAGGGATTGAAACATACGCGCAATAACCTACAGTGCAGCGTAGCTCGCCTGCATCACGTTCTCTGCAAGCTTCTGGCAGACTGGCCAGGACTGCTTTGGCTGGCCTGATGTTGGTTGTGCGGCTCTGTGCTTGAAACTTGCTGAGGCCAGCTGTTCCCCCCTCCTCTATCTTCGTCCCCCTCCACATCCTCCTAAGGTTAAATCGGGCGTGTCCCCCTACAGGGGGATTGTGGGCGAACAAATGTTAGAAATATATTCAAAAATACCCCCCAAAAAATATCCAAACATAGTCAACAAAATCGTCCCCAGACTATTTCTTTGGACTATTTTGGAATATTCCCCATGTTGAGGGGTACGCCCGACTTAATCCTAAGGCCGCCAAGGCCCAGGCCCCCTTCGGCCCGGCCCCAGGTGGCCCAGCGCGCCGGCCCCGGCAGGCGAGCCGCGCGCAATCGGCGCCACAGACACGGAGGGCAGATCGTCTCCAAAGCCAGCCTGGCACAGGCGGTAGCGCGCGCGCGTCGCGCTGCGGCCCGGGTGCTCGTCGAGCTCGCTCGTCTTGAGGCTGAAACTGCCCGTGAGCTTCTGCCTCAGCATCCTTCGTCACAGCGCCCTCTTTCCTCATACATGTATGATTGCTGGCCGTGCTCCTCCTGTGGCGTGTCCAATTTCGACGAAAGGGGCATCTGCAGTTCGTGCTCGACTCCGTGGACTTCACCGGCAGCGAAATGACCCCAGCCAGGGCGGCGATCACCGCAGCCTGCAGGCTCTGCTCAAGCCCGAGGCAAGGGCAAGGCACGTTCTCCGAAAGGCAAAGGCAGCGGCAAGGACTCATCCAAGAGGTTGGATTCTCGTTCTCCGCGTCAGAGTTCTGTTGGTTTCCCCGAGCTAGATCAGGATTAAGATAAAGAGGAGCCCAACCGGGAGTCGTCGCTGTCCGCCTTGCATGCTCTTCTTCAGGAAGCAAGAGATCATCCCGAATGCCCTCGGGAACTTCCAGAGTCAGCTTCCCCGCAAGATCGCAGGGCCTTCGCGGCCAAGCCAAGTTGCGCGCGCTGGCTGGTGCGATCAGAACGAAGGAGGAAGCTGGGTTTGTGTCGGGTCGGGCGAAAGGGGGGGATAGCAAAGGGGTGGTTTGAGACTCAGCTCACGTAGCTGATTTTCCCGGCGCCTCTCGGCGCCGGAGGCGTCTATGTATCGAGGAATGGGCCCCTCGGTGGGGCCGAAACCAGCTGGATGCAGCAAATTTCGTACCCCCCCCTTTCACAATCCCCCCCTTTCGTCCAGCCCGATTGTGGCAGGCGAAGAGCATGGGCGGTGCGCCGCTGCGCTTGCGCCCACCCACCTCTGCCGGCCTTGCGCGGGGAGCAGGTCGACCGTCCGTCCGCTGCTCGCGCCCCCGAGCCAGTGCTCGACTGCAAGCAGTTCGGTCGGACGTCGAGGCCAAGTAATCGAGGAGCTCTGCGCGCTCGAGAGAGTCAAAGGGACCTGGCCCTCCAGTGGGTCAACAGGCACACGGAGGCCCCCGCGGAGACGAAAGCCAATCCCCAAGGACACCGGATGGAGACCGACAGGGGGCGATCAGGAGCAGCAGATTCCGAGGCCGACTCCGCTTACAGATGCGCCTACGAAGCTGTCCTCTCCCAAGGCAGAGGTTGTGCAATCGCCGTTTGCGAAGCCAGCAGCCTCTGAGGTCAGTCCCACGACGGCTTCGCAGACATCTCTTCCAGAGATTGCGGGCCTCCAGGGTCTCAATGTCCAGGCGGTCAACGACCGCGCAGTACTCGACGTCACCACTCAGATGAACATCTGGACGGCGAAGCAC